CACCCTGACTGGGGATTTGCCCTGCAGCGTAGGGGCGCGCTCCGACTCCGACTGGGAATTTAAGAGACCGCCTTTCGGTTCGCAGGTGAGCGCTCAATTCCCTGAGCCGCACCAGCCAGGGTCACTCCTTTCATTTTTAAGCCGTTAGGACAACAAGGGTCTGATCAGCATCAAATAATCTTCAGAACAAACCTTGACCACAGAGATGGAATTTAGATCAGGCTGGAGACAAAGTGGAGGCCTCAGCTGCGTTTCGGCTCCAGGCCCAGAAAAGCAGCAAAAGGATGCAAGGCCGGCGTCAGGACCTCACGCGCCAACCAGCTACCCGTTCCCCTACCCCCTTCCTTCACCCCCCTACCCTCTCCCCCACCCCCACCCCCACCCTCACCCCCCACCCGGCCCGCGCCCACTGCTCAGCGGAGACCACAGCCTTGGCCACAACCCTACTTCCCTTAGCCATCATGATTAGTGATTTTTTTTCCCTACATAACCGCTCCCCCAACCCCGGAAGCCATCGGGGAGCCGGGTCTTTAAGCGTTAGCTCACCTGTGACTCGGGGCATGGGCCTCTTCCTGAAGTACACCCTTACTTTCTGTGCTGCAACTGTAACGGGGCACAGCCAGGGCCCCCCCAAAGGGTATTTGTAATGGGGTCCGAAGATTGGGGTGTCCAAGAAAAATATATTCTCTCCACCCCAGGGCGGGCCACCATTGGGGATGGGAGCCTTAAGCAGGGCCATTGAGAGTCCTTTTGCATGTCAATAACAGGATAGCTTCATTCCTCATATGCAAAGAGAGTTATTTTGCATATCACCAAAGCTAATCAGGAAGGTTTAAAAGACTTTATGCAGAAGGTAACTGGGAGAGAGAGGAGGAGAGACAGGAGCCTGCAGGAGAGACCAAGGGACACAGACTCTGGGGAACAGTGTGAAGATCTCCCGGGAAGAAAGAGGGGAGAAAGGACTCTTGGTAGGGGGCCAGGAGAAGGTGCCACATGGTTATGGATGAAGAGCTGGAGATCACAACGGCGCAGCCGATGGTGCTGAGAGGCATGAGAGGCCTGCCAGGCCGAGCCCCGGACTTCTGTTCTTTTTCTTCTGAAGGACAGTACCCTGACTGGCCTGACGGAGCAAAGAGGGGAAGGCAGGACGGTGTGTGTGTTGGTGGTTGTTTTAAAGGGATTTTGAGGTTTAAGGGTGACATTTAGCCATTCATCAAACCTGTATAACTTGAATAAAGAGTTCCTTTCCTTTTCACCAAACTGCCATTCGGAGCCATAGTTCCAAGGGCGGCGAGCAATGGACCTACAACCGAGGGGCCCCGGGGAAGGGGGGTGTCGGTGTTTTGGTAATAGCATCTGGACACCCCTCCACAATGGGTCCATTTGTTTGGTAACACACCCTCCTGCTCCCTGTTGGGCTCTGATGCAAGCAGGCAACAGACCCCTTCAGTTTGGTAACAAAAGGGTGAGGACACAGCCAGAACTTGAACACTGGAACCCTTCCAAAAATAAAGGATCAAGTCCAGGAAGATGTGCTCAAGCCCCTTCACTGGCCAAGTTCCAAAGCTCTGCAATAAAAACGTGCCCCTCACGTGCTTCCGCAAACCAGCCTCTTTCTCTTCACCCCAAACCCTCAGTCTTTGCCTTTAAAAACACTTAATTAAAAGCCATTCAGTTTTTTGGGTTTTAAATGGTAGTTTACTCGTCTCCTTGTTTGGCACGCTGCAAATAAAATGGTTTTAATTTCTCCATTGCAAAACCTCAGTTGATGTTCAGTGTTTGCCTTCACTGCACATTGAGCCAGTGGACCCTTGTTCAGTTCAGGTTAGTAACTGAACTTCCAAAGGTAGGCTAAGAAAGCAAAGACCTTCATTGCCACGGAGGGTAAAAACAGTGTTTGTGAAAACTTGTGTCTTTGGTCTCCCACAAAAATGAGACACTTCCAGTCACAGACCTAATAACCTGTGACAATGGGCAGGTGATATTGGGAAGGCAATGAGGGTAGAGACAACACAGCCCCTTATGGACTTGGATCCCTTCTTTTCTTTTGAAAAAACTTATTTATTGATTTGAGCGGGGGGAGAGAGAGAGCAATTTGCCCTTCCACTTATTTATGCATTAATTGGTTGTTTTTTTATCTTCACCTGAGGACATTTTTTTTCACTGCTTTTAGAGGGGGAGAGAGAGAAGCATCGATTGGTTGCCTCCTTTTCACGTCCGAACCAGGGATCAAACCTGGAACCTAGGTATGTGCCCTGACTGGGAATCAAACCCACAACCCTTTAGTTATAGGACAATATTCCAACCAAGCCACACCAGCCGGGGCTAAATTATAAGCTATTAATGCAATCAATATGGTAACAGAATAGAAGCAGCAGCAAATGATGGTCTCAACTGATGCAGAAAAAGCACTTGACAAAATTCAACACTTTCATGATTAAAAACATTAAACAAACTAGGAATAATGTAATAAGGCTGTAGATGAAACGTCTACAGCTGACAGTACTCAGTGGTGAAAGACAGAAAGCTTGTCCTCTGAGATCAGGAACATCCTTCCAAGACAAGGACGCCAGCTTTATCACTTCTTTTTAACACAGTACTGGAAGTCCTAACCAAAGCAGTTAGGCAAGAAGAGGAAATTAAAGGCATCCAAATTGAAAGAAAGAAGAAAAATTATCTGTGTTTGCAGACAACATGTTCTTATATGTAAGAATTTAAGAAAACAATTTCACTTACAATAGCATCAAAGATAATAAAAAATAGGAATAAATTTAACCAAGATGGTGAAAGACTTGTAGACTGAAAAGTGTAAAACATTGCTGAAATTATTTTAAAAAAGACACAAATAAATAGATATCCCATGTTCAAGCATCAGAAGACTTAATATTGTTAAGATACCAGTATTATCCAAAGCAATCTACAGATTCAGTACAATCCCCATCAATATCCCAACAGTGTTTTTTGCAGAAATAGAAAAATCCACCCTAAAATTTATATACAATTAGGAGACTCTGAATAACCAAAAAGAAATACAAAGTAATCAAAACAGCATTGTACTGGCATATGAATAGGCACATAGGCCAATGGAATAGAATAAAGAGCCCAGAAATAAAACCTCACATATATTGTCAGTTTTTTTTAAATGTTTTAAAGATTTTATTTACTTTTAGGGAGAGAAAGGAAGGGAGAAGGGGAGAAAGTGTGTGAGAGAGAAACATCAATTGGTTGTCTCTTGCACACCCCCAACTGGGGACCTGGCCTGCAACCCAGCCATGTGCCCTGACTGGGAATCGAACTGGTGACTTTTTGGTTTGCAGGTTGGTACTCAATCCACTGAGCCACACAAGTCAGGGCAAGGTCAGTTATTTTTGACAGGGGTGCCAATAGCATTCAATGGGGGAAAGGATGGTCTTTTCAGCAAATGGTGCTGGGAACGCGGGATATTCACATGCAAAAAAATGAAGTTGGTCCTTTACTTTATACAAAAAATAAAATTAATCAAAGATCTAACATAGAGATAAAACTATACAACTTGTAGAGAAGAGAATATTCACAAGTCACACATCTGATAGGAGATTAATATTCAAAATACATAAAGAACTCCTACAACTCAACAACAAAACAACCCTATTCAAATATGGGCAAAAGATTTGAGCAGACATTTCTCCAGGGAAGATATACAACACAAATGGTCAATAATCCCATGCAAAGATAGATGTTCATTAGGGAAATGCAAAGCGAAAGCACCACATCCCTCTCCATTAGGGTGGCTATTATTTAAAACGACAACAGAAAGTCACAGTGTTGGCAAGGATGTGGAGAAATTGCACCCCTTGTGCACTGCTGGGCAGAATGTAGAATGGTGCAGCTCCTATCAAAGAGTATGGAGGCTCCTCAAAAAGTTAAATATAGAATAACTGCATAATCCAGCAGTTCCACTTGGTGTTGCAAAAGAATCGAAAGCAGGGACTCAGACGGATACTTGCACACAAATGTTTGTGGTAGATTAGCCACAGTAGGAAAAGGCAGAAACTTCCCAAATGTCCACCAACAGACGAAGGAATAAATGAACTGTGGTATTACATACAATGGAATTCAGCCTTAAAAGGGAATGACTTTCTGACACTGCAACACTGTGACACTGAACCAATTGTACTACGTGAAATAAGCAAGACACTAAAGGACAGAGATATGTGATTTCTCTTATACGAGACAGGTAGAATATGCAAATATATCAACACAGAAAGTATTGCTAGAGTAAGGGTTACCAGGACCTGGGGAATAGTAGAGAGAGAATAAAGATTACCGGGGCTGGGGGGAAGGAAGGATGAAGAGTGATTGTTTAATGGGTACAGTTTCAAGCTGGATCGTGAAATATCCCTGGAACTGGATAGCGGTGAGGGCGCACAACACTATGTATGTACTTAATGTTGGTGAACGGTGCTCTTAAAAAGAGTTCAAATGGTAAGTTTTATGGTGTATATATTGTGCCATAATAATAATAGATAAACATCAAGAACAAGTTAAAAAACAAAACAAAACATTTGTAAAGGGAGAATGAGGTCATATGAAGTCATTGTAAGAGCTTGGCTTTTATTCTGCCTAAGCTGCCAATCTGCAGATCATGGTGTTCTGGGATACGCTGTGTATTGACAAAACTCAAATGAGGCTCCCACCAAACCCTAAGCTGAGTTCAGTGACCAAAGCCAAGGCCACTTGCGAGCTGCTTTACCCAACCCTGTGGGAGGAGCGATGAGGCTGTCACCGGGCCTGCAGCGGCGCGCAAGAGCGGCATTCAGCTCAAGCCTGACCTAATTAAGTCTTCACCCCGCCGTTGCTAGGCCGGACGGACAGGGCTCAAGGTCTCGAACAGGAAATGGGGTTGGCGAGAGTGAGAGACCAGGCCGAATGCTTGCGCTGTGGGAGGGGCTCAAGCGGAGTAGGCGCGCGAGGGTAGAAATAGCAGCACCCTAAGTCAACCACTTAGTTTTGGCCCTGGGTCTGGTGATGGAGTCGGAGTGGGACCCGCTGAGAGCGCTGGGGGCGGTGACTGCCGCCTGCCTGCTGCTGTGGGCGACTTGGGGGTTGGGCCGCACAGTCTATGTGTACCTGCTGCCCCAGGTGCGCCGGGTTGCCCCTTGGCTCAGAGCTCACGGAGCCTGGGCAGGTGAGAGGCAAGGGCTGTGTGTCAGGCCCGTAAGGATGGGGGCCGCAGGAGGGAGGATAGATGACAAGAGAGTGCCCCCAATCCAGGAAGAGGCAGAGGGGAGATCTGGAAGCAAAAGTGAAGGCTGAGTCGACCAGGGCAAGGGAAGCATGGAGGCCCCGCGACAGTGCAGGGGTGGGGAGGAAGAGTCAGAGACCGGGCGAACGAGGGATAACGGCAGGAACGGTGTGGCGTGGGGTCTCGGTGAGATGAGCGTGGCGATGTTGCGCTGGGGCAAAGTGTCAGACTACCCCTCCTGCTCGTCCTCCCTCTCTCTCCTCTCTAGTGGTGACTGGAGCCACCAGTGGTATCATCGGCAAGACCTACGCACATGAGGTGAGTCAGGGCTTGGAGCCTTGGGGGTTGGGCGGGGGGGGGGGGGCTTCCCTGTCTGTCCGCACGTGGCTAGCGGCCCCTGCCAGGCTGAGAATCGCACTCTATCTGGTTCCCTTAGATATCCTGGCCCTCGGGAAGACTCACCTCTGCTCCCTCACCTGGGGCGGGTGTTTACACTGGCCTGTACGGTTTCCTGGCATTCCCCATCGTTGCCCAGATTCATTCATTCAAAGCACGTTTATTGATTTCGCTATTTTGTTGGGGATCTTTGTGTTCCAGTTTATGAGGGATATTTGTTTGTAGTTTTCTTGTAATAACTTTGGGTTGAACTGAGGGAGGAACAAGTGGGTGGGAAATGGAGAGGAGTTTAGTTTGGGCCATTTAAGCTTGGGATTCCAGTGAGGAGTCTCAGTTGAGAAGTACGCAGCTAGGTGTGCAGCCACAGAGCGAAAGTCGAGGTGGCGATACATAGGTAAGCATTATCAACATCTCAGTGCCATTTAAGTCGCCAGACATGTTGGCAAGGCAGAAATAAAGTGGTCTCCATTCACATAGAAAATCGTAAGAAATCTAGCCGCGGCTGGAGCAGTTCAGTGGATTGAGAGCTGGCTTGTGAACCCCTGGGGCCACTGGTTTGATTCCCGGTCACGGCACATGCCTGGGTTGCAGGCCAGGACCCTAGTCGGGGGTGCATGAGAGGCACACATGCATTCATGTTCTCTCCCTCCCTTCCCCTCTCTCTAAAAATAAATAAATAAAATCTTTAAAAGAAAACCCCAAGAAATCTTTAAAAACAAAAACAAACCAACCATGTAAAAACCAGGAAGTAACTTTAACTAAAGGGTCACACGTTTCGAGTCACACCTTCTAGCCAATCTTTTCCCTCCGGAGTCAAGGCAGGTTCTGAGCAGGAGAGGGAGGAGCAGGCTTGTGCTTTAGGAACAGCCCTCTGGCCGCTGAATGCTGGGTGGAGAGGAGGGGGTGAGACTGAGCCTGTCATGGGCACCTCGTGTCCCCAGCACCACCCAGCAGAGAGCAGGTGCCCGTACACACATTTTGAATAAGTGTATGAATGAAGAAAGGAGCGAGCACTTGAATTATTGGCTTCTTATATCACTGAGAATAAAGGCCAAAACCTTTACCGGGGCGCGCGAGGCTCCCTGCTCTGCCCCCTTGGCCACCTCACTGAGCTTGCTATACAACAGGTCACTTTGCTCACGTTCGCTGGACTCCATGTTGTCCTCTAAGCTGCCAGCCTTTGTACAAGGGCCTTTGCACATGCTGTTCCATCTGCCTGGAAGGCTCTTTTCCCAGATTGCATGTTCCTGGAGGACAGGATTTTCTTTTTTCTCTTTTGTTTACCTCTTAGAGCGCTTACTCCGCAACACACAGTCAGTACACAGTACTTATTCGTGGAGTTAATTAATAAACGATTGAATCCCCTCTCAGCTCGCCCGGAGAGGTCTGAACATCGTCCTCATCAGTCGAAACCTGAGCAAGCTGGAGCACGAGGCAAGGGAGATAGGTCAGACAACCAGAGCGGGCCGGCTGGGAAAGTTGGGAACAGGGGCTGGACTCGGTGGGGCGCCCCCGGAGGCGTGGTCTCAATGAGCCGGGGGCGGGGCTTCAGCTGCATCTGGGCCCAGGGAAGGAGGATGCAGCAGCTGCTGGAGCTGAACGCGCCGACGGTGGGAGGAGAGGGGCGGTGGGGCGGGGGGGGCGGGGCGGAGTGAGACTGGTTCCAGCTCAGGGCCTGGCTCCCACTGCCGCCCTTCCCAGAGCGGCTTCATGGCAGGGTCACTCGAATCATCCAGACTTCACCGGTGGCTTGAAGGTCTACGAGACCATTAAGGAAGGACTGAAGGGCCTGGAGATTGGAGTGCTGGATACGTTCCCAAGCCTGCGTGCAGGACCCCTGCTCTCAAGTGTCCACGTGCTCACCCTGACCCGGAACCCTCTGAGGTCACCCTAACCCTGTCCCTGCCCGTAGCCGGTCTCCCTGGGGGACCGTTCGAGCGAGATAAACAACGTCTCCTGTCTCAGTGAACAACGCGGGCATACTCTATGAGAAAAAGCCAGGGAAACTGCTCGACTGTGAGAACACCGCCAAAGTGAGTGAAACCGTGCGCGCGCCCGCTCAGCGCCTCTTGCTTCCACTGCTGCTCTGTGTTGGAAACCCACGCAGTAGCTAGGCTTTGTTAGAACAAGGTATTCTATTGCCTTCTGTCGGATAATTGTTCTCAAAGCTGCGCATCTCTGATGTCTAAGAGGTGAAAGAGGCCCCCTGAGACTGGGCGCCCGGCCGCGTTGCCCAACTCGTGGAACTGCTCACGTTCTCTGGTTCTGCCCTTTTATAGTCCCTGGGGCTAATTTTAGGGGGAAATGGCCCACAACGGAAAACGAGTGTCTGCCATTTAGGGTCCGCGGTTTTCTACATTTTTATTTGCGATCATTCTTGAACGCATGACTTCTTTTTTCTTAATCACCTAGAGGTATATCCCGTCGCTTCTTCCTAGCAGAGTCACATGCTCTCCTGTACCTCAGCTTCAGAGGCCTACCTCTTCTGTTCAATATGTGTGTGGGTTTTGGAAATTTTTATTTAAAAAACACTGAATTGTACACTTTGTTTTTGTATATATATAAATATATCTATATCTATATCTAGAGAGAGAGAGAGACAGAGAGAGATTTGTTGTTCCACTTACTGATGCATTCATTGGTGGATTCTCCTATGTGCCTGGACCAAGTGCTGCACCCACAACCTGGGCATGTTGGGACAATGCCCTAACCAAGTCATAGTTCTACAAGCATTGTAAAAGAGAACTCATTTTTTTTTAACTCCAAAATTGCACCAAAGTAAAGCAGAGCTCCAGCTGGTGCAAGCGTGTTGTTGAGGCATCAGCAGTGCAGCCCACACTATGCGCTCGTTGGGCAGTAGCACAACCCCAAGAAAAGGATGGCTGGATAACGTGTCGCGGGGAGTGCCACGCGGGGCGCTCCTGGATCTGAGGGTCACTGTCCGGAGCCAGCTGTGGGGGGAGCGGGGCTCTGAATCCCGCAGAGCCCGTCCCGGGGTTGTCATGGGCGGCGGGGGAATAAACACGAGTCGTCGCAAACACCTCTCTGTGCCAGGAGAGAGGACGTGGCTCTTCCCTCTAGTGGAGAAGGCCCCGAGCCCCCAAGTCCAAAAGCTTTTATTGAGAACCATATGCACAGGGGTATGGAACAAAGCTCATCAATCAATGTAAAAACGCTGTTTACAGAAAACAGACAGAGATCATAGGTAACAATGGAAGGAACACAAGAGATCTGCCTCAGGTCAGGGTCTATGAATAATGTAAATTTCCTTCCCACTTGGATTCAGTTATCATAGCTTTTGAGGGAAGAACAAAGCACACTTCAAGGAACTTACTTCTCGGCCTGATTTCCCCCTGGGAACCCTCAGATCATTTAGGGCTGTACCTGCCTTTAGTATTGTTTCAAGCCTGAGCCCGGTGGTTGGGGCAGAGCCACCAAGAGATAAGAAGACGTCTTTCAGATAGAATGAGGACCCCGGCCAGGTCCAAGCTGAGCCGAGGGGTGCAGGCCTTTTTGCCTTTTCTCCGTGTCCCCCAAGTCCTTGTCCGGCTGCCCATTTCGGCTGTGTCTGGCTTAAGTTGTTCCTTCTCTTGAGAGATCTTACCCATCATTGACTACCAACCATCACAGGGCCAAACAGGGTGATGAGAGGGAGGCAGGGCCGCGCCCCTGCCAGGGGGACAGGTTTCGTCTCCTCAGTGGCCTGTTTTCCCAAGGCCTCCTCCTTGATCATTTCCAGCCTTGGGGCCCTCTCACCTGTCGGCGGGGCTACAGTTCCTGAAACCAGACAGGTCGTTTCCCAACAATAACTCATACTTTTAAATAATATATTTATAGTGCACATCTTGATTTCTGAGTTTCAGCCATTATTTAGTGACTGCTCACAGGGCAAGGTGGAGAGTAGTTCCAGTGCACAGACACCTGTGCCCGCACCACAAACACTCCCCCCCCAGGCCCCAACCCCCCCACTATGCAAGATATTTCATAGGCGAGGCTACAGAGTCATATTACTGTGCATATGAAAACACGGTCAACAGCTGAGCCAAGTAGTGGACTATGATGATTTTTCCTGTCTTTAACAACTTTGTCTTACATACGTGGGTTTCTATGTACTTATTGTTACTTCAACTCCAAACTGTAATCCAAAAATATTTTAAAAGTTCAAGCACTTTCGTCTTCTTTCTATATTGGTTACCCTCTTTGCACAAATCCTGGGCCCTCCCCCCTCTTTTTCCTAGGAAGCCCCTCTTTTCTTTGTCACATGCCATAGCACTTTTTGGTTTACTCCTTCATTTTTTTGGAGCATATCCTTCAGTAGCTGCCTGAGAAAGGGTGCATGGACGGTAAAATCTGGCTGTTTTCTATCAGTTATGTGACTTCAGATAAATGGCTTTATTTCTCTGAGCCTTAGTTTCATATCTATAAAATGGGAGTAAATATTTTTGCTGGCCTCACAGGGCTATTATGGCAAGGCGATGAAATAATGCCCATAAGTTTAAGTTGTGTGCTCCGTAAGTGTTAGCTACTATTCTTAGACAAGACAAAACAGAAGATCAGGATGGTTTTACAATCGTAAATGTTATTATTTCAAAGGAATGCATATACTCATTTTATCAAATTTAAAGAGAGGCTGGCTGTCTATGCATTGTGCCTCTGCTGTTAAAGGAGGCGGTTGTTTGAGTCTAACCCTGCACATGAGAATAAAAAAATATTTTTAAAACAATTGTTTGAGGGCATCAAGCAACTCCTAAAGAAATGAGGATTGATTTGAGGAGAGAGAGAATCCAGAGAGGTAAACCTGACATTTGGAGCAGCATCTCCCCTCACATGGCTGAGAATTTAAAAAACTAAGCAGAGCTTTCAATATACGTTGGAGCTGCAACAAGTAACATAGTGCAAAGCTTCAGAAAATAGCGCAGGCTTTTGGTTGGTACCCTGAAGAACTCTAATCTAGGAGTTAGGGTAAAGTAGAAATAAACTCAGTTTCACAGGAACTGACACTCCATTTTCAATTGATCTCGATCATGTTTGGGATTAAGGTGATCTGGCATTTTAGCACCCCTCCCCCAGTGTAGCTTCCTGGAAGAAGCAAAAGAATCCATGATCTTTAGAGGAAAACATACAGTAGACCCTTGAACAACCTAGGATTGAGCAGGCCAGATCAATTTAGATGTGGATTTCTTTCAATTGTCCTTCAATTGACCCGCTCAATTCAAGCCCATGTTGTTCAGGGTCACCTGTGGTCCAGAACCTCAAATTATCAATACAATTATTTATATTCAATATCCAGCATTCAATGAAAAATAATGAAGACTATTAGAAGAAAATCATGACTGTAAACCAAGGAAATGATAATGCAAGCAGATAGATCCACATGGGACCAAGATAATGGAAATACGAGCATAGATTTTTAGAGCTGTAAAATATATATAGCATAAAATTTACCATTTAGAAGTGTACAACTCAGTGGCATTAAGTACATTCACAACATTGTACGGCCATGACTGCTGTAATTCCAGACCTTTCTCATCATCCCAAACAGGAACACGGGACCTCTTGAACGATAACTCCCCATTCTTTCCTACTCCCAACCCCTATTCTACTTTCTGTTTCTTTGAATTTGCTGATTCTAGATACCTCATACAAGTGAAATCGTAGAATATTTTTTCTTTCGTGTCTGGCTTATTCCACCCAGAATAATGTTTTCAGTTTCATGCACGTTATGGCAAGTTTCAGAACTTCATTTCTTGTCTTTTTTAATTATCACAATATACATGACATAATGTTTATCATTTTAACTATATTTAAGTGGGTAATTCAGTGACATTAAATACATTCTCATGGTTGTGAAACCATCGCCACCATCCATCTCTAGAACTTTTTCAATATCCCATGCCAAGATCTGTACCCGTTAAACAACAACTCCCCATTTCTCCCTGCTCTCAGATCCTGGAAATCACCATTTTGCTTTCTGTCTTATGAATTTGACTACTCTAGGCATCTCATACTAAGTGGAATCATACAGTATCTGTTCTTCTGTGCCTGGTGTATTTCATTTAGCGTAACATTGTAAAGGTTGATCTATGTTGTAGCATGTCTTGCAATTTTCTTTCTTTTTGAGACAGTACCATTCCATTGTATATACACACATTTTCTTTATACATTCATGTGTTTGATGGACACTTGGTTTGTTTCTCCCTTTTGGCTATTGTGAATAATGTTCTTGTGAACACTGGTGTACAAATAATCTGTTTGTGTCCCGCCGTTTTGTTTTTGTTTTTTAAGATTTTATTTGTTTATTTTTAGAGCGAGGGGTAGGGAGGGAGAAAGAGAGAGAGAAACATCAATGTGTGGTTGCCTCTCACGAGCCCCCTACTGGTGACTTAGCCTGAAATGCAGGCACGTGCCCTGACTGGGAATGGAACCTGCAACCCTTGGATTTGCAGGCTGGGACTCAATCCACTGAGCCACACCAGCCAGGTCTATGTCCTACCTTTTAACAAGAAGTGGAAATGATGTATAAAAGATTACTTTAGCTATTCAGAGTCCCTTGGGAGTACATAAAAATTTTAGTGTGGGTTTTTCTATTTCTGAAAAAAAAAATGCTGTTAAGATTTTGATAGAGATTGAATTTAATTTATAGATCATTTTGGATGGTATTGATATCCTAGCAATACTGTCTTCCAATCCATTTACACAGGATGTCTTTCCAATTATTTATCTATTCTCTAATATCTTTCAGTAGTGCTTTATATTTTTCAGTATGTAAGCTTTTCCTGCTTGCTTAATTCTTAAGTATATTTATTCTTTCTTTTTCTGACATTAGCTACAAAAACTGTATTTGAGTTACAGTTTCCCTACTGTTTTACATTTTTAAAAAATATATATATCTTATTGATTATGCTATTGCAGTTGCCCCATTTTTTTCCTCCCCTTTATTCCCCCCCACCGTACACTACCCCACCTCCCAGCATTCCCCTCTCCTTATTTCATGTCCATGGCTCATACATATAAGTTCTTTGGCTTCTCCATGTCCTATACTATTCTTAACCTCCCCCTGCCCATTTTGTACCTACTATTTATGCTGCTTATTCCCTGTACCTTTTCCCCCATTCTTCCCCCTCCCCTTCCCCTCTGTTTTACTGTTCATAGTTTTTGATCTTCTTTTTCTCAGATGAATCCCTTTAACATTTCATTTAGTAAGGGCTTGGTGACGATGAACTCCTTTAACTTGACCTTATCCAGGAAGCACTTTCTCTGTCTTTTCATTCTAAATGAGAGCTCTGCTGGATAAAGTAATCTTGGATGTAGGTCCTTGCTTTTCATGACTTTGAAAACTTCTTCCCAGCCCCTTCTTGCCTGCAAGGTGACTTTTGAGAAATCAGCTGATAGCCTTATGGGAACTCCTTTGTAGGGAACTGTCTCCTTTTCTCTTGCTGCTTTTAAGATTCACTCCTTATCTTTAATCTTGGGTAATGTAATTATGATGTGCCTTAAAATGTGTGCTTCCTTGGGTCCAACTTCTTTGGGACTCTCTGAGCTTCCTGGATCTCCTGGCAGTCTATTTCCTTGGCCAGATTGGGGAAGTTCTTCATTATTTTTTCAAATAAGTGTTCAATTCCTTGCTCTTCCTCTTCTCCTGGCACCCCTATGATTCGGATGTTGGAATGTTTAAAGTTGTCCCAGAGGTTCCCAAGCCTCTCCTCACTTTTTTGAATTCTTGTTTCTTCATTCTGTTCTGGTCAAATGTTTATCTCTTCCTCCTGCTCCCAATCGTTGATTTGAGTCCTGGTTTCCTTCCCTGTACTGTTGGTTCCCTCTGTATTTTTCTTTATTTCACTTTGCATAACCTTTGCTTTCTCCTCCATTTTGTGACCATACTC